CCAAGGAGCTTTTGTGGTCGTGGTTCCGGAGGATGGACTTGAGTTCCTGGTTCTCGCGCAGGAGGTGGATCAGCTGCTTGAGCTCCTCGTTCTCGGCCACTAGCAAGTCAATCTGCTTCTTGAGCTCATTATAGCGAGCGACAATGGCCATCCCCAGAAGGCTGCCGCGGAGAGGGGAGGCTGGGGGAGCCCCAGAGGAGTGGCATTCAGAGGGCCATACAGAAGCTTCAGCCCCGCAGACTCCCCTCTCCTCTCCACTGGCGGGCGGGCGGGCAGGCAGGCAGGCAGGCAGAGGGGCTGACCTGGCGCTGGTGACACGGGGCTCCCATTATGATGCAGGCAGACCTGAGTGAAGGCTGGAACTTCCAGACAAAGGACAATGCCCGGGAGACCGGAGAGGGCCGGTGGGGGTGGGCGGGTAGGGCCAAGGCCACCCCCTCCTCGTCACACACACACACACACACACACACACCCCACCCCCAGTAACACCCAGGAGCCCCCTGGAAGGTGCTCAAAGCCTCAGGGCCACCGAAGCTGGAGGAGGCAGGAAGGGCTGACCTCGGTATGGATGTTAAAAGCTTCTGACTTCGCCGATTCTGGGGCTGTTTCAAGTACTGGGAGAATCATGTTCCACAGTTGCCTATGGTAAGCTCCCATTGCGGCTTGAAAGTTTGCAACTCACATCAAAAATGAGGTGAGGGAATAGAGTCTCCGGCCGAGTATATCTAACTTTCTCCCTTCTTTGTTTGTAGGTGCAATTGAGGATTTATTTCAGGCTCTTGATTGGTTTGACTGTGCTATTGAGGAGTTTGGTGCCGGATGTTTGGTGAGACATGTAGTATCGGCACTCTGGGTCTTGTAACGATTTTCGATACATCTGGAAATTTCTAAGGAAGTGGGAGGTTTGTCCCCCGATTCCTTGGCCAAATCAAGCATAGGCAGAATGAATGCCAAACTGAGAGGGGGCATTTTATCTTAATACCATCAAACACCAAATCCTGCTTAGGGGGTGGTGGTTCCTCAATTTCAAGTTGTAAAGATTTACCTATTCTTATGACTAGTTGAGAATAAGAGGTGAAATCCTCTGATAGAGAAGGTGGGTGATTCTCAGTGATATCATCAGAAGTCGGTGTCGGTAAATTAGATGGTGATTCTTGTGATACGTCAGAGGCAAGGTCCTGAATCGATGGAGATGATGAAGGAGGAGATTGGTGTCGAGGTTTTGACATCGATATTTGCGTGGAGGAAGGAGGTTGTGCTGTGGGAACCATTGTGTGGAATATCTCTCCGTGTTAGTAGGCAGAAGAGGGGAACCTTTATAAGTGGTAGTAACTGGCAGTGATGCCTGGGGAAGGTGTTTAGAGGAATGTTTAGGACACTTTGATTCAGAATATTCCATAATCAATGAAGGGCGTTTCAAGGTTGGTTTAGACAGAAGGGTTGTATGAGTCGGTATCGAATGCTGAGGCTAGTGTCAGTGTCGAGGAGGAGATGGACATAGTGAAGGTGAGTATCAGGGTCGATACAGTAAATTAGAGCGGACCCTTTTAGGTTCATAATATCTATCTCTTCTATCATCTTGGAAGTGGTGTCGAGTGGATTGCAGATAATAGTAGGACTCCTGGTGTGGGAGATCATACAGAGCCGGTGATAGATGTCGTCTCTTCTCCCGGTGTTTTCTAGGAGAGTGACAAGATGAATTGGAGCCGGATAGTTCGACAGGAATTGCCTGCCCTGACAATGAAGGGCTCGAACGGGCCGAGACCTGACTGGAATGAACATCAGCCCGAGAGAGGCCGATACTCGGCAACAAGCTACCAGCGGAGGCTGGACCTTGGGCTGGAGGTAGAGATGGCTCATCTCTGTCAGACAGAGAGCCCAGAGCATCTCTAGATGATTCATCTAAGATGGGAGGTGGAACGGTCGGCTGTGGTGGACTTTTCCTTTGATTTCTTAGAGGTCGTGTTTTTTCCCTTCTTCTTAGAAGAGTCTAGAGACGAAGTTGAGGCCTTCGACATCGACATGGATTTTGATTTCGAAGTGGACTTTGACTTCTCCTTAGGATGAGGAGAAGGAGTCACAGGGCTGGAAGCAGGCATGGGTGGATCTTGCCAATCTGGTTGAGGGTCTGGCAGTCATGCAGACTCTGTAGCAACCGGAGGTGGATTAAGAGATTTTCTCCAGAGGTAAGACCTCAATCTTTGTAAACACAGTTTTAGCGCTGGTTTGGTTAGCCTTTTACACTTGGAGCAGGAGTGTTGTTTTCCAAGGCAGAGGAGGCAACGGTTGTGGCCCTCAGATAGCAGGATTTTATTTCTGCATAGAATGCACTGCTTGAAAGGCCGGGGGGGGCGTAAAAGAGTGGGAAACAAGAGGGGAAACACTTGATGGCTCTAGTCTCTGAAACAGGTCTAGCCAACAAGGCGGAAAAAAGGAACTGAGGGGATCAGTGATGGGTGGAACAGGCGCTCCATGAGGGAACATCCCACTAATCATGTGTCTTTAAGCTCTAGAAACTTCCGAGAGGTTCAGCGCAGGCGCAGAACAACCCAATTGTGTGCATTCACAGAGGCCACGAAGAAGAACCTCAGTCTTCCGCTCTTGTCTCTCCTCCCTGCTTTTCTCCCCAAAATATGGGACTCTGAGACATAAACCAATAAAACACTTGCTAGAGGTCAGCAAAAATGAAATGAGACAGGCAGGCAGACGATTTCCAAAGGAGGTGACTTGCTGGGCTTAAGCAGAAGTTGGAGGCAAGAAGACATTTGGAAAGAAGAACCGTGTTTTCCTAATTACTAACATTTTTCATTGACCCCTATTATTAAATGAATTGTTTTATTGCACTACAACTTTTAATTACTTGTTTTCTTGCATCTGCTTTTCTTGTAAACTTGTTTGTGGTTTTTTTAAAGTGTAAACAGTACAGAAATGATTGATTTAGAATTATCTAGGCCTAGTTTTTCTAGTTCTGCCTTTCTATGTAGTCATTTTATGATACTGTCTGGTGCTTCCTGTGCTTTTATGTTACATTTTCAAGGTCCTTGATTTCTATCTCTTCTTCCTTTTGTGATTTTTTTTCCGTGCCTATGTGTGTAAGTACATAGGTTTCCCTTACAAATAATTTCATTGGGTCCCAAATTATAGTTTGTGGGAGGTTTTCTGTCTTGTTCAATGCAATTTTTGTTGTTGTTATACTTCTGTTTAGAATATTTTGATACTTTCTTCACTATACAGCATAAAGGAATTACAGTAAATCACCACCCGGGGTTTCTACATTGTCTTTCATGTACGTTCAGTGCGATTTGTACTGATGAGTGATTGGAAACTGTGTATCTATATTTACTTTTCTAATCTCTGATAGCGCTGTTGAGGACGTGAAGAAATAGTGCCAGACCGATGGCAATTTTTGTATATATTTTAATTGTATTTTAATTGTTCCGAATTTTTATTGTATTTTAAATGTTGTAAGCCGCCCCGAGACCTTTGGGTAGTGTGGGGGGCATATAAATGAAATAAATAAATAAAAGCCAGAGCTGGATTCCAGGGCTTATGGAGAACGTCCCCCGTCATCACAGTCCCTTCGCCCCATGCCGATAGGTTACCTCCCTTGCATGCTGTTTTTTAGAGAGTGAGGTCGATTGATATCCGGGCCAAAGAAGGAGGCCAGAGTATGGCGCTGGTCCAGAATTGTGCCCCAAACAAGAATATCTCTGCCTTTAGGGCCCCTTTCATATGTTTCTAGTTGGAAGGGGTTGATGTTCTCTCCGTAGCGCCACACCCCCAGATTCTGAATTCCTGCCAGCTACTCACGATTGGCTCAGGTACGTACCTGCAATGAAAGGAGTTCAACAGATTCCTTTTGAGTCCCCGGTAATAAAAGGGCATCCAATTGGTTTTCATTTTTGGTGACCTTGATTGCCCGTTTCTTTTGGGAGCAGTTCTCAGCCCCCTGACTTTACCAAGAAGCAGTTCTGGTCAGTCATAGAATGCCCGGCAGAGTAAAAGATTTCCCGATCGCTCTCCTGTGGATGGATCTGCACCATTTTCTGCCGACACCTGACTTGCAATCTAGAAAGAAGCCAGAACCCGAGGAAGGGGGCGGTGGTTGCTGTGGCAACCCTTGCCGGTGGCCCCGGCACACAACCCGGGGGCGTGGAAGTGTGGTATAGCACAGGCACATGTCACCCCCACTCATCTGAATGGTATCAGCTACAGTAAATCTCTAATGTCAACATTATTGAGAAGGTTTCTCTTCTCAGCCTTACCTCATTTTTACTTTTAACTATTAAGCCAGTTAATTTAACTTAACTATAAAACCAAACTTAAGGCCAGTTAAAGCTTTGAGCCCAAGAGTGATTAAGAGATGACGCAGAGCATCACCCCAAGAGCAGAATCTTCCTAGCTGACAGGGGAAGTCATTGGCCTGCCTTTGAATCTCTCTCTCTCTCTCTCTCTCTCTCCTAACTGAGCATTTCTTTGGTGTTCTGAGACATCTTGTGCTACTCCAAGGGATTACCTCGGGAGGGGGAGGTGAGCGCCCCAGCGCTGGAGGCCTTCAAGGGAAAATCCGGCCACCGTCTGTCCAATCTGCCTTGGTTTGGATTCCTCTTGGGCTGAGAGGCCCTTTCCAACTACATGATTCTAGGATTGTGAGATTCCGCAATATCTCTGCAGATGCCATCACCTTGAATGGAAAAACCCTGGTAATATTTGCTCTCTTCCTTGCGTAGTTCTCTGGATTGGAGTGGAGTTCTCTCCTTCTTTGTAAGGTGCCAGAGCCGACATCTTGCAGTATCGATACTGGGGTTCCTCTGTCCTCAAGTCACTCCTTAATTACTTGTAGTGGGTTTTTTTTTTAATTTCCTTCATAGGACATCTAGAGAATCTCATAACTACATCCCTTGGTTTTAGTTTTGGGGTCACCTTGTGGATTCTCTCTCGGCCACTTGGAGTCATGTTTAAATCAGGAAGGCGTTTGGAAAGCCGTTCTGCAAGGAACTTCTGGAGTGTTTTCTCCTGCCTGTCCGAATCTTGTTATCCCGCCTGCTGTCGGGTTTCACCGGCATTTCTGTTTTCCAAATCCTCCAGCATCAGCCACATTTCTTGATTTGACTTGGCAAGGCGGGCAATCCATTTTTGGCACGGATGCCCAGTTCCAAGGCCTTGCTTGATGTCGGTGAATGGCTTGTGAGTTTCGTTGCCAACGTCTCCATCAGGTTCTCCAGGGGCGTTTAACTTTCCTGCTCATTCCTTTATGCACGTTTGGCAAAACATGTTTGACGGCAGTCTTGGCTCAGAGCCTGCCGCTTCCCTCTCTAAACATCTCGAGCAGGCTGCTCCCAAGGGTCTTTCCGACTGTTGGGGACCCCATGGGCTCCCAGCCTCCAGCCTCAAGCGGGCAACCCCGGCCTGTCTTCTGGGACTCAGGCTTCCCAGCGCCAGTGTTTTCTTCAGGCAACCTCTGTTCCGGTCTCACCCACACCCCTGCACAGACATCCACAGCGCCGCCTCCTCTGGGGCTCTCCAGCCTCTGTGTGGCTTCCCAATGTGGGTGATGAGAGACCCCTGGACAGGACCTCCTGGTGGAACACTGTGGTCGTGGAGCACCTGTATGTGAGAAGCATGAGCTCTGGGCCAAGATCACCTGGGCAAGCAGGTGATCCCCTCTCCTGGGCAGCCAGCCCACCAACAGGTTCCTGCTGGGGTGAAAAACCATCTAAGGGAGGCGGGGGGGGGGAGTAATGCATGGTTTCAGCAGAATGTACGTCTATGTTCTCATGGGCCTAGGAAGGGAACGGGCATTTCAGAAGCAGACTTGAACTGTCCTGGGGTCCTCCAAGCACCGTTTTGCCGTTCACGACCCTGACATGCTCAAAAGGGCTTTGAAACGTGCTTCCCCTTTGACGCAATCTGCTATGGCAAAACCTGTTTTGAGCTGCCCTTCTCAGTGGGCCCTCCTGCGGCTGCCCACCAACAGTGTGGCAACCAGAAGTGCCCCCCCCAGTGTGTTCCCCAGGACACGCTGGGACCAGCAACCTACTCGGTCTCCATATGCCATCCTGGTCTCTCCCACCCCCCACTCCCCACTTGCTGCCTCCCTCCCAAGACACGCTGGCCTTGTACCAACCACCCGCCCTGCAAGTAATCCTTCCTGTTCGTTAACCCGATGGGGGTCCAGAGACAGACAAAACGGAGGCGCTCTCCTGGTACATTCTCGCTTTTATTGTTAGGACGTCCTATTTATACAGCATAGTGCAAAGTCTGGCCCGGGGAGGAGCAGAGGGTTGGCTGCTCAGCATGCAGTAGTGCAGGGCCGGGCCCCCCCCCCCAAAAAAAGCCAGCCATGTGGGGCGGGAGAGGAAAGAAGGGGGTGGAGTGCCCCTCACCCCTCCTGGATGACATGGAGGACCGATCAGAAGACTTCACCTCTCGGTAGAGAAGCCCCCAGGAGACCAAATAGCCAGAAGTCCTGGGTAAGGAAGGCCCTGCACCCACCCCCTCGGCAGCCCCCCCCCAAAGGTGGCTGAGCAGCCCCAGCTCAAGAGAAGGGGGCCAAGCCCATTCTTCTGGACGGTGCTTAGCAAACACAGGCAGGGGTACACACACACACACACATACGCGCGCACAGACATACACACACACATGCAACATTCACAACAGCTGGAGTAGAAAGCTCAGCCATGTGGAGGCCAAGGTGGGGGGGACAGAAGCAAGGAAGAGCGTGTGAGGGAGCTCCCCAACCCCACCAAATGGAAGAGGGTGAGGTTGCACGTGCGCACAGCCCCATCCCGGCCCTGGCATCTGGGGGGAGATGGGGGAGAAAGGGAAGAGGAGAGGGGATCATGCCTGGAAGAAAGACGTTCTTCAATATTAAATTAACAGCTCCAGGTAGAAATGCAAGAGTGGGAAAAAAGAGGAGGA